GAGCAGAGAGACATTTTTTTTCCTGGCACTTGTTGGTCTTTGGATGTTAGCTGCACTGAACATTTAAATTAAGTTAATATTGCTGGCCATATGTTCTGTATACTGTGGTTATATAGTGTTGTCTTGGTTGCTAGCTACTTTGGATACTGTGGTAAAGCAAATTGTTGCCTTAGCCACCAACCACATTGTCAGTATAGTTCTAACTTTATTCTTTTCCACCCCTACCTTCTGAAAACAGCTTCTTAGATAGATACAATTGTCTCTAGGATAAATGACCTAAATGTTATTTAGCCCCTAAGTCCCAAGGATACAAGTATCCTCTCTTTCTCTTCCTGACCCTCTTGTCCACATATGATGGTTGCTGAGAGCTCATTTAACAATGGTCTAGGATTAAAATGCTGGCTTTCTGAGTAAATCCGAGACTTAGAACTGTCTTTGTCGTGACCTAAACATTCTCCACATTCATATGTCATTCTTTGATGTGGAATTCAAATGATATTTCTCTGCACTGACTTACTCCTCTCTAATTTCTAAATGTCGAGCTGCCCTGAGAAAAAGCAATCTTCCTCGTCAACTGTTGTTACAAGTGAATTTATTAAATTATTCATTTAGGTAAGAAGAGAAAGGACATGGGAGGATTGAGCAGCATATAATGAAAGTAGAAGAAGGACTAAAAAAAGAGGCAAGGCATGAAAAGGCTCTATGGTCTCTGAAGTCTTCAGTGAGATTTGGTTCTGGCACTGAGGCTGTAGAGTAAAAGATCCTCTGTTTTTTGCTTAAACCGTCTCTTGGAGGAAATGCTGAAATGATGAAGGATTCCAGGCAGGACTTGTGTGCATCTCAGTGGACTTCTTGTTCATTTTCCTATAGTATATGCTGTTTTAGAATCCTGAAAGTTATTGGCTAGAAAGTTCTTAGTAGTAGAGCACATGTCTAGCTTGGGTGAGGCTTCACATTTGTTCCCCAGCATGTGTGTGTGTGCGCACATGTGCACATGTGCACCTTTCTGCACACACATGCATGCACACACATACATTCACACACACACTCAAAAATACTAAAAGCTATTTCTTGAAATGTATTCCTTCCTCCTACTAGATAACAGAATTTTGATGGACAGATAGATTTTCTGTAACTTTCAATTTATGACAGACAATTAAATGTAAGATCTGAGACTTTCAAACATACAAATTAGAAACAAGTGTTATCTTTTCAGATTAAGAGCCATCAGGGGACTGGAGAGATACTTCAGAGGGTTGCCTTGGATGCAGCCAAACCTTGTTCAATCCATGGCATCCCATATGGCTCCCTGAGCACTTTCAGGAATGATTCCTGAGTGCAGAGCCAGGAATAACCCTTGAGCTTTGCTTGGTGTCACCTAAAAACAAACAGAAGAGAACCATCATGTTAGATGGTTTATATATGTATAAATCAAAGCATAAGCAAATAAAAATGGATATACCCATTTAAAAAGGTTGCATGTAAATGTATCTTGGTTAATGACAATTTGTACTTACGCATTTTGTAATATGAAACTTAAATTTTTTAAGAATGGAAGAAGGACTGCATGGAAAGAAAACATAATCAGTGCAGTTTTAAATTTGACCAATTAAATTCTGCAGAACATGTGCATATTTCCAGGGAATATGAACACTTAGGGACTAGAATTTTATTTTCTATTAGGCATATACGAGGGACCATGTGGACATTTTATGGTTTGGATTATAAACTACAAGTCTTTAGATTTGAAAAGCAAAGTGGCTTTGTGTGACTTGATGTAATGATTCCCAACAGGGTTTAAATAAACTTCTTAGCAATGTTTTATGGATTACTTTAAAAGAAACTATGTACAAGGAGTTTGATCAAATAAAAAAATTTAAACTAAACTACCTCTTTTGTTGACTTAGTTTAGATTGCTTGCAGTTGATCTATATTAGTGTGCTTGCACGTTTGCATGTATGTATGTGTGTGTGTGGTGTTATCTATATTTTATATTACATAAATCTAAAACCTTCATCTTCTTAATCCAGAAATGTTTTTAAAGAAATCATCCAATTATGTGCATTGGTTTAAAGTTATTCTGTTGCTACTGACTTAAGAAGAAAAAAAGAAAAGATATTTGTAAACCTGCCAAGTTTGGGGGTAAAAGTTGGAAGGAGATTTGTGTTTTTGGAGGAAGATAGTCAACATTGTAAGAAGATTTGGAATAAAATACCAGTATAATCAGTTCTTGAGTGTGAAATACCACACTGTCTAATGTAACATTTTAGAAGAAAATTAATAAAAGATGAATGCTAGGAAAAATGCATCTTCATAAAACAGAGGTTTTCATGCTATTCAAATACTTTAATTTTTACTTATAAGAAATAGTGTCCTGAAATTATGAGACTAAAATGAACCCCCAAATACCCTAATTTCTAGTTGGTAAGAAATCTGGAAAACATGACCAAAATTAAGTCAATTGGTAATTCCTAGTGTTAGCCCAATATCTCATAAAAACACAGTGCCTTGTATTTATAACTAATCTCTATTGAATGAATGAATGGATGAGCGAATGAATAAATGACCTGCAAACCACATTTAGCTGGCATTTTTAGTTCATGGAAAAGTTTTATTTTGTCTTCTGTGGTTTTTTTGTATTTTATAATTTTTAGCAGTAAATGTCATGTAGCTAAAATTGTTCAAGATATGCATAGCTAGAATTTGCCTTAAAATAAAATATAAATCTCACCTCTAACAAAGAATAACACATCTAGGACTCAAATGGCAGAGAGCTGTATTTTATATTAAACATTTCTTTTTTCTTTGTTTTAAAAAATCTGTTTGTACCCAAACAATATTTATAGGGTAAATTTTTTTAAAGTAGAAACTGATATTAACCTGAAATAACCAATCTCTTGCCTCTGATGCAAAGCAACATAAATTCCCTTGTAGAGGGTGGAAATGTCTATCCCTTATTGAAAACCAGCTCAGGTTCTACATAAATGCCAAATTTCATGTTGCAAATATATTTTTTAAATAATTAAACATTTGTTAAGATTGGGGAAAGTTGTCAGGGGTGGCTTGAGTCATATTTGAATGACATTTTTTTAAGTGAACCTATTAAAACTATCTCTTGCTCTCCCTGATAGAAACAGAATATTGAACCCAGCTGTATAGATATTCTGAGCCATTGTGGTAGCTGGTAGTTGAGTTCTTTGACTAATGGTAAGATTTTTGTCTAGGTACATCACATGGATTTAGTTATCTGCCCACTGGAATGACACAATGGGGAGATATCTGGTGAATATGGTGGAACATCTGTGAATGGATTACAACTATGTCTTATGTGAATCATTCTTCCCTCAAAAATCTAGTTTAACAGATAACAAATTCTTAACTGCTGTTGAATAAACTGAGATGTTTGGCTTATTCTAGGGGTTGGGAGGGAGTGAAGATACCACATCCTCTAAAGCATTTTCCCAGTAATTTTTTGAGACCCCTACATTTAGGAACACAAACAAAAAATATTGACAAAAGTTATTAGAAAGCAGACGTGGTCACAGCCTGTAATAAGTTATACCTTCTTCAGCTATTCAGCACCATTATGAAAGCCACAGGTCTTGACAGACATAAATGTCTTTCAGCACAAAGGGCTTCATTAAAAGTGTGCAGAACATGTGACCTCAGGATCACCCTCCTGCAGAATTTCTATGACTCTTAAAGGGTGCTCACTTCTTGGGGGATGCATTTGGTACAAAGCTCTTTAGATGACAGTTTCTTTCACGGAATGATTCTGTTTCACCTTGATTTCCCTAATCTGGGATCAGACTCTTTAGAGTACTATTAAAAACAACTGGAAAGAAGGCAAACAACAACAACAACAAAAAACCCATGAAGTTCTTATAGGATCACTTACGTGTGAAACTGGTTTCCTGAATAGCGCTAATGCTGCTTATACATTTTCTGGGTAATTTAGCCTATGTGTTTATATGTATCAGGTGGGTAAGTAGCTTAGTTTGTGTTTTTAATTCTTTTCAGGAGTGACCTGCCTCTGTAGGACCTGGGCATCTGGCATCGTCCTGTAGTCTGACTCTTTCTCTGTGTCTCCATTTACCTTTCTTTGCTCCTTTCGCCCCTTGGCATTAAAAAGAAAATGAGCCTGCATAAAGTCTATTCACCAGGGATGTTTTCAGTAAGAGTGTGTTTGTGTGTGCCTTTGCATTTTATGAAATGTGAGCAAGTGGTGAGTGTCTTTGTGAATAACTAATTAACATCTATTGAGAATTTTACAGATTTTATAATGAGAACTTTTTAGCTGTGACAAACAGGTCACACAGATTACTTTTCAAAAATGAGATAAGTATACTCCAAATTAATATTCGATGGAGTAAGTATGTATCTGTTTGACTTGGTGTAATTACTGAGGGGCCGTTTCCATAAAACCAACAAACTGATGATTCGCAGTTCAAAGGAGCCTCACTACCATCTTTAAATTGAAGAATTTGTGAACTTTTAGAGAATTAAATCTATAAATGGGAATGGGGAAATGAAATTTGTGAATGTGATGTGTTCCAAAGACTAAATTGATGGAATTTGTACTATAAAATATAGTAATAAATTTGTGCTTTTTGTTTTATTTTAAATAGATACATAGTCGGTTTTTTTCTATTGAAATGTTTGTTCATTCACACATTTTATTTGGTAATATTCTGGGGTTTGTTTGAGAAAAGAATGAAGAATATCTAAATGGAAATGTGAATTGTTTAAAATTACCAAGACTTTCTTTTCTGAACTTGAAAACAGTTGACGTTTCCCAAAATGAGAATAATAAATTTGCTTGCAGTTATAGCGTCATCACCGGGACTTCTCTCTTTTTTAGACGACCAGTCAAGAGTGTCTGGATCAGATAAAGACAGCAGCGACTCAGTGAGGGTGCTCCTCACAGAGGACAGCGATGCAGACCTAACATATGGGGAGGCAAGCCCCTCTCCAAATAATCATATCTTCCTTTTCTCAAGGTATCCAACGACAGGAGGTGGTCTGTAAAAGGCTGGATGACAACTCCATTGTTCAGAACAACTACTGTGACCCCGATGGCAAGCCCCCCGAAAACCAGCGCTCCTGCAACGGGGAGCCCTGCCCGCCTGAGTAAGTGAGAGTGAGCGCTTTTCCTGCAGGTGCCAAGGGCCATCATTTCTATGTGGAAAAATATACTCGTGTTTTCTAAGTAAATTCGAAAAGGGTAGAACATTGCAGAGGGTGATGTCAAGTCACAGAACAGAGATTCTTATTTGCTGGGCCACGCCTGTTAGTCCTCAGGAATCACTCCTGGTGGGCTCAAGGGACCATAAAGGGGCCCGGAATCCAAGTCAGGTTGACTCTGTGCAAGGCGAATGCCCTACCCACTGCACTGTCTCTCGGGTTCCAGAACCAATAAAACCCAGAGATTCTTATTTCTTTATTTATAGGTCTCAGTTACTAACCCCTTGAGGCAGGAGCACCCCAGTGCTGGAAATGATCATATTCCTCACTTTTAAGGTGTATCTTTCCACATTTTAACATTTTGCAGCCGAGGGGGCTATGAAAATCAGCATGATTTTTTGCGCTTAAATATTCAGCGATGAAATGTCAGTGCTTTCATTTGCTAACTCAGTTTTACATGTCATCATCCTAAAGCGTCTGTCTTTTGAGTTTGGGGAACAGTCGTGCAAGTGTACTCCACTCAGATTCCTGACTGATGTAGTTCTTACAGCTTAACGTAAAAGGAAAAAGAGAGCCCACTCATCTCAACTATAATTGATAAAAACTAATATTTAAAACATGGCATCCACTTTAAGTGAGCTCCATTTTGTAACTTGTAAGAATTCACAGATTTTCAACTGAGCAGAGAGCAATGACAAGGTGAAAAAGAGTAAAGATGCTGAGTTAGTGATGAAAATACTGATCTGTGTAGGAATTTTTGCCTGGTTAACTATAGTAGAACAGACTGTGTATAAATGACTATGCATTCTTATTTGAGAAATCAAAGTAACCGTCATCCTTAACTAATGATCCCAACCTGGAATTTGTAAGGGAAAAAGAGAGTGAACAAACAAATCTATATATCCCAAGCCCTAGATGACTGGACAGGAAAGTCTATTTTGAAGTAACTTTAATACAGTATTTTTAATACAGTGGAGTTCCCCAAATCTTGGGATCTGTAATGATAAGGAATTCAGATTCCAAATACCATTAAAGGGAGATGCTTTTCTTAATTTTATTCCCAAAAAATGCTGCCTATGCACTTTGATTATCTAAAATCAGTAAGCATCTGCCTAAATGTTTGAATCCTAAGCATGGTAAGCACGGTCCTCCCGTTGTTCACCGATTTGCTCGAGCGGGCCCAGTAACGTCTCCATCATGAGACTTGTTGTAACTGTGTTTGGCATATCGAATACATCATGGGTAGCTTGCCAGGCTCTGCCGTGCGGGCGAGATACTCTCGGTAGCTTGCCGGGCTCTCCGAGAGGGGCGGAGGAATCGAACTCGGGTTGGCCATGTTGGCTGCTTGTAAGGCAAAAGCCCTACCGCTGTGCTACTTTCTCTAGTCTCTATAAAAAATTTTAGGGCAATGAATATTAAATAAGGAGCATAAGAAATTTAGATAAGCCAATAGCTTTTAATTCTAAGACACATTTTTATATTTATTCTTTTCAAAATATTATTACCATGTAACTAATTCCTTAAGGTCCAGATACAGTTACATAGAAATATGACCTAGACATATATATTTTTTTAGTTTTTCTTTGTTATGTCAAAGGAATAAGGTTGTCTTTTGTAAGGTTATCTCAAGAGACTGAAAAATTATATAAAACAAAGTATTATCTACAAACTAGAGCCTAATTTTGTTCCTTCTAGGCTTTCCAATCACTTCAGCATATTCTTATGCAACTGTGATCCTAATCCATCAAGTTAATTCCCTGACAATCAGGATTTTTAACTATTACGTTTGGCTTTTGAGCAGCCATTTAAGGCATGAGGCCTGTGTGGGCCCAGTCGCACCTGTTCAATTTTGGTCTCAACCTTTTTTAAAAATTTGCTTAAGCTCAAATTCTACCCAAGTGTCCATTGGGATTTGAATGATTGGTCATTCCATCTCATAAACAGCGTTGGGTTTTGTTTTTTAAAACAATTTACCAATAATTGATGTGTTTGAATTACCATAGAGGGCTGGAACAATAGCACAGCGGGTAAGGCATTTGCTTTGCATGCAGCTGACCCGGGTTCGGTTCGGTTCCTCCGCCCCTCTCAGAGAGCCTGGCAAGCTACCGAGAATATTCTGCCCACATGGCAAAGCCTGGCAAGCTCCCTGTGGCGTATTTGATATGCCAAAAAACAGTAACAACAAGTTTCTCAATGGAGATGTTACTGGTGCCTGCTTGAGCAAATCGATGAACAACGGGAGGACAGATTAAAGTTTTCTATCTTCTTTTCTTATACAATTCTAAAATAAAATGATATATACTACATTTTTTTTCAAGTTTAGATATCTGGGGGTAGAATTGAGAAAAGATAAAAAGAATATAAGAAAGAAAGAAAGAAAATTTAGACCAACAGTTTTCTAATTGGAAAGCGTTCAAGAAATACACTTAAAATATAACTACTTGTTATTTTTATATTGGCATACCATTGGTTTGCTTTACACATTTTTCTCCTCTTCAGAATATGTTACCACACCACACCCAGCACCGAAGTTCAATATTTGTCAACCACAGTTCCATCTCCCTCTCTCATTCTCTAAACCTTAGTTCTGCCTTTGGAGTTCAAGGATTTGTTTTTATTTGTTTTTGTCTGTTCCCTTGCTTTCCGTCTCAATATCCCACGCAAGTGAGATCATGTTGTTACTATTCGTTATTAGTTCACATCCTCTTGGTTCCTTTTAAGTTTCTCTGTTTTCCTTTGGGCTTGGATATTAGAAATAATATCCTCATTCTTCAGCATGTTTGCTGCATATGAGATTTCCAAGTAGACACTTGTATTATAGAGATAAAAATTATAAACTACTAAATTCAATAAGAACCTTTAACTGAATGAGGAGGAAAAGAGATGTTATTTCAGATGATAATGTTGTGCTAACCATATTTGGTTTTTATAACATATATATTAAAGCACAAAATATTTTGAAAACAAGTGTAAAGAAGACAGAGCATCCATAATTCCTTTATTATCACTTAATATTTTGGCAAATATATTTGTTGTCTTATTTCTTTGTCTATGCAGTCATATGTATATAACAAAATAGTATTGCACTATTTATCATGATTTCTGGTTGCTTCTCAACATATTTTGAACATTAAACATATTCCACAGCATCTAGTACAGGCCATTGTTTATTAAACTTGGTTTTCCACAGTTTAACACCGTTAGTTATCTCCTAGCTTTTGATCCTATATGAATCTACAGTATGAATATTAACATCTATCCATCTGCTTAATGAATAGGAATAGAATTTATGGTTCAAATGAAAATATATGTTCATCTTTGAGACATATTGTCAAAATTTTCTCCAGGAAGAATATATGAATGTATACACCCACTAATATTATATAAAAATAATATTTCCCTAAACTGAGCAGCTCTGGATATTTTTATTATTATAATATTTAATTATTTATAATATTTTTATTATTTTAAAAAAATCTTTGATTTTTGTTTTTTGGGGAGGACCCGCACATGGATGTATTCAAGGGTTACTCCTGGCTCAGCACTCAGGGATCACTCCTAGTGGTCCTCAGGGGAGCATACAGGATGCCAGGAATCAAACCTGTGTTGGTGTGTACAAGGCTAGCTCCCTATCCACTGTGCTATCTCTCTAGTCCCTGACTATTTTATATAGAAGAAAGACATGATATCTAATTTATGTTTTATTTGGCATATGTTGGTTTACTGATACCAGGATTTTAAAATTTCACTCAGTAGCAAATAGGCCTGGAGTAATAGCACAATGGGTGGGGCGTTTGTCTTGCATGCAGCCGACGTGGGCTTGATTCCTCTGTCCCTCTCAGAGAGCCTGGCAAGCTACCAAGAGTATCCCACCCGTACGGCAGAACCTGGCAAGCTACCCATGATGTATTCGTTATGCCAAACACAGTAACAACAAGTCTCACAATGGAGATGTTACTGGTGCCGCTCAAGCAAATCGATGAACAACGGGAGGACAGTGCTACAGTGCTACTTTCCAGCTTTTCCTCTTTACTGTCTGTTCCATTTTTCTATTTATAATCTTGTTATTGATTTACATGAACTCTTAAGGCACTAAGGATATTAACTCTTTCACATGCTTCTGAATATTTCTTCTCATGTTTTCCATATTATTTATGATATTGCAATCAATTTTTACTTATAAAAGTTTTAAAATATTATATGGAAAGTTACCAAACCCTTTCCCCCGCCTATTCCTGCAAAAATTGGTATAATGTTTAGAAAAGCTTTGTTTATTCCAATGTGATATTTCTAGATGTTATGCTTCTTTCTTATTTTGGGGATATTTTGTGGTGGGGGCGGGGGTGTTCCCAAGCAGTACTCAGGGGGTCTGGAGCCACTCTCTGAAATTCTCAGTCAGCCAGGCTGGAGGTTCATAGTGAAGGCTCAAGGAGGCAGTGCCAAGACTGCCTAAGTCAATTCAGACTCAGTGGTACCCTGGGTCTCTAGGGCCACACTGAGCAGTGCTCAGCAACTTTCAGGGCTGAGGGTTGCCTCCAGTGATATTGGGGAGGCCAGGTGGTGCCCACAGACCAGACCAGGTTGTGAAATGAGTGCTTACAATGTACCATCTCCCCATCCCCATAAAGTTTGTTGTGTTGTTGTTTCAAATGTAAATTTTCAAATCCTTATGTAGGTTTTGAGGAAAGGGTTTACACAACATTTACTTATATGTATTTTTGTTTTTCCCAGGCCATTAAAATTTTAATAGTAGTTAAAATTTTAATAGTAATGTTTAATTAGAAAGTACCTTTTCAAAACAATGCAGTATTTCTAATTAACTGTCATATTAGAAACCTAACAGAATATGGAAAATAGAGTGCAAAAACATTCATCCTTGAGCTTCCTTTAAAAAACCTTGATGAGAGAGATACTAAGAAGAATAGGCAAAAATGGCATTGGTGGAG